GAAAGGATAATAATTTTCTGGAAAATTCACATCGTCTGTGTCAGATGTGTTTTCCAGCTCAATACGTTTGCAGTAGAGAAGAGCGCTTTCTCTTGCCTTGGTGCTGCAGAAAATGCATTAGAGGTGATCACAATGGTCTCGAATAAAATATCCATTTATATTTGGCTTTTCCTGTTGTGAAAAATAGATTCAATTAATGTGGTTCCTTTTCATTTCATAGGTTATTAGGATAGCAGAGAAAACGCTAATAACTGGACACGGGAAATGCAAGGAGTCTCGGAAAGACTGAAAAAATTAATAATAATAATTATCGGCTATAACCGCGGAGAAAAATGAGGGGTAAATCGGACAATCCATGTGCGTACTTGTAAAAAGGTGATCTTCACCTTTCAACAAGAAAAATATCCCTACTTTTGTGACCCGGCAGTGGGGCTTGCCAAACAGCTGATATGTGTTGGCCATAAGTGTTAGCCTCTTGTTTTCTATGTTCAAAATGGACAAATTTTTTTGAAAAAAAGGGAAATGAGTCTGTTGAGTTCACTAAAGATAAATATTCATCCACTAATATATTCTTCAACAGAAGTGCTAGGAGAATTTAAGCATCAAAGAATGCACTGTTTCAGTAAGCAAAAACATCATTTTTACACAGTGAAGAAAGAATAAAGAAAACTTCTGCAGTGAGAAGTGGGTGTCATAAAGGAAACTGAGATCATTTACAATATATAGGCCATTATCAAATATATTTCCCCAAATCCAGAAAATGTATGTTGACTAACTATCATCTTCCTCAAAAATATGGAAAAGCATTGTTATTTTGTATCATGAGATAATTACAAAAGATACTCAGTTTTCCAGTGTGATTATCTAAAAATAAAAAATAAAAAGCATTGATCTTTCGAAACAACAAAAGCCTACAAGTTTGTATTACCTTGAAACAAACAAATGCAGCTATTTCGTAGTTCTAAAAGATGATGGGTTTTATGTAGCTTGACCAAATTTCAGGGGTACTTTATGGTCAACAGTATTTTCAAAAAATAAAAATTACCACATGCGCAACAGCCTCCACAGTAGAAATAGTTCTATAAAATTTCTAATGATGTAATTCTCAAATCATCTTTCTAGATAGCCATAGCAGAATGAGTATCAAAGTAGCATCATACCATAAAAGCCACATTAAATTTTGTTGGTGCATACAACAGGGCATAAAAAATGATATGGAGACTGATAAAGCATATAAACACATAGAACTTATTCCAAACCCTAGATGCAATCAAAAGAAAGGGAAATGCAGGAAAGGTGACATCTCATGAAAAAAGTCATGCTTTCTAAGGACAACTTAAAGAGTATATTGAACCAAATATTTGATAAGGTTTTCATGGAATTTGTAGACAACCACCATAAGATAACCATTCTCCCAGCTCATGCACAAATTGAACGAGATTCGACTAGCATGATAGTTACATCAGTAATGGGAAAAAAAATCCTAAATAAATATCTTCCATGGACTTATATGATTATATCACCAATGGGACATAAAATTCTTAGAGCAACAATATCTTTTTTTACTTGTCTCCACGAATAAATCCCTGTTATGAGTTGTCCTCTTTATTTTTATTTTTTTAAGTTGTCCTCTTTATTTATTTATTTTTTACATATTTCTGTACTGCAATAAAATCACCTACTAAAGGTGTTATACAAACAACACTAACAAGCATACCAAAAAACAGAACCAGAAATGACTACTTTAGAGCACATTACTGAAAGCCTGAAGCACATTCACCGGCATTGCATAACAAATTAGTGATCAATCACTAGCCCTTTGTAACAAATTCTTCTTTTTGGTAATCTGTGTGTAGATATTTTAACTTCACTTTTCTCCTAATCTTAAGTTGCTATATTAGTACAGTCATCATTTTTGCTATTACCACAACATCACTATCACCATTCTGAAAGCAAGCTACAGCTTAATCATGAAATACAATTAATCTTTAATCAGAAAACCTTTTACTCTCTGATCAGCGAGGGACATTCAGAAAAAGTACTAATTAAAGTTGAGACAATATATATCTAAACTTGTTTTATTTTATAGGTGTGTGCAGAAGAAACAGTGTTCTACTGAGTGAAACACAGAAGAATGGATGCACATTCATGTTTTTAGTATACGTGTAAAATGTTTATCATGTCAAAATTCATTAGTCAAGCCAATACAAAAATTTTCACACCCATCTAAAGTTGATCTCAGTTCAATTACATCACTGACCAAATGATTAAAGAAGGGCACCTTACAAAAGGGATAATGTTGAAGACATGAATGGTTTCATACTAGGAAAAGTGTCCATGTACAGCTCCCCAATGCTGATTCGAGAGCACCTCAAAATAGCTCTTCTACACTCACCAGGCCAATACAGCAGCAACCAGTTACCAGGAGCCATAGATTGCCCTCCACTTGAAACTTGTCGGTTCTACCAAAGAGCAATTTTTTAGCAGCAACTAAATAGAAAGACCACCTAACTAAACAGCTAAATTAAGCATGAATTATTTTATAAAATTTTCCTAAAGTTTCACAATAACACAATTTTCAACAAGAAACCTAGAAAGGAAAACTTAATACAATCTAGGAGAATGTTTTAATAGGACTAAGTAGTTAATTGGCTATCCTTTAGATAAACATATTATAGTCAAGATAAAAACTGGCGAGGGCATGCTTACTTATCACATCGAGGTGCTTTGTCCACTATAGTTGCCATGGTATTGGACAGGCATACTGCTCTGCCATCCAAATAAAATGCTACGCAAAATTTTAGTAAATAGGCAACAGTCAAAGACTGATCTGATTTTTGACCCAATGCATGCCAATCTTTAATTTTATATGGAAATGCCAATAGCATATGCTATCAACTCTATATTGTCTGTGAGAATTGTAAAGCTCGTGAAAAATTTCCGCCAAAAGTGCTATATGATTAAATATAGGAAGTCAAATACACGGGCAGCACTCGTCAAGTTATCATCATTCCACTTTCCTAAAAATTTCTGCCTAAATTCAACTAATCCCCAATAGGCCCAATAGGCAATAGGCTTCTGCTGGCTGCCTATGTTTTTCTTTCTTTTCTTTCCATTTTCTTTTTGGTCCCATTTAGGCCCATCTAACCACATATACCCTATCAAGTCCCCTCCTTTATAGTTATGCCTTTGACATCTACCTAGCCCTTAGAATTTCTTAGAACACAGACTTTAATTCATTCGTTCTAATGCAAAACAGTTTTCGATCTGATGTGTGTTAGAGGGTCAGAACAGTTTTGGTCAGTATCGCCGATGAAATTTACTAATCTCTAGATATAAAAGGTAGCTGTCTGCGACTCTGATCTACTTGCACATCACATATTAAGAAGGAAAAAGCATGGAAACCAATTTTCTAGACATGCATGAGCTTCCATCGAAGCATTTCTGAGCTCAGAGGAACAATCGAAGTAGAAACCAGAAATTTTCTATTTAAGTTTCTCTTTGGTTCAATCCAACAATGGTAGTATTTTGAGGGATGTGTACTAATTGTCATTAAATATCACAGATGACTCATTCTTTCACGAATTTGAACAGGTTAAACAAACCTTTAACATCATAAAGAAGCCACATTTGTTTTTTAGCAGTTTCTCTTCAAATTGAGGAGATTACGTAAATAAAGTGAATTTTGTTCTCGATTTGGTAAATTCACGAGAAAATACAGCAATCCGCACAGTGCATCTTAAAACTATCACTTGTGTCAGTAACTCCAACAATGTGATACGGCCCTGGTTACTTTCACCAGTTCATTTGTCTCTTCTTCACCTTTTAAGGAAGCTCTCAAGTCCCAATTCATACTCAAAATTTAAACGATACAAAATTGAAATGCATTGCTCAATTCATATGGGCAGTTACCTCATTGACAGACCCTGTTTCTGTCAACCCTTGTTCTAGGAATAGCCAAGATGGCTATAATCCCACTGGTGAGTGCAGAAATTGCGGCAATAAATATAGCCGGCGAGTTACCGCCACCAAATAGTTGATCCCAAGGCCCAGCTCCAAGGGACACAATTACCTGCATTTGGAAAACGCACATGCAAGCCAGTCAGAACTCAGAAGTTTCGAAATACTTTTTACGTATTTCCAACAAAAAGTACATAAATGAGAAGAACAACTTTTTCCAGGATTCAATCTGTCCAACATATAAGACAATAGTATGAAACTAGCAATGAGGCATCCTAAGTGGATTAAGATTAAAAAGTTCAAATCCCAAGGCCCAGAGCAAAAAAGAGTAATTAATAATTGTTGATGTAATATAATTATTGTTGTGTATATTTCCATTTGTACCCTTATTTAGGCTATTACTTAGGTGTTGTAATCCTTGTGAATATATTGGGACGAGCCGTACTAGATCATCAGAAAAGATGTTCAGTTTTCTTTCATTAAAAACTCTGCTCCTCATGCCTCGTCACCATCCTCATCATCATCCTCAGGTATACCTTATCCATTATGTTAGTTGGGATTCTTTCTCACCGGCACATAAGTTGTTCTTAGCAGCTGTTGAGCCCCGTACATGTGCAGAGGCAATGACTGATAGTAGGTGGAAGGAGGCTATGAAGGGTAAAATCCAGGCTCTCGAGAATAATGGCACATGGGAGGTCGCGGGCTTGCCTCTTGGGAAACGTGCCATTGGGTGTAAATGAATCTATAAAATTAAGAATAAGTCTAATGGTTCAGTAGAGCGCTATAAGGCACAGCTGGTGATATTGGGTAACAATCAAGTAGAAGGGATTGATTACCACGAGACCGCTCCTGTCGCTAAAATGGTTACCGTGAGGACTTTCTTGGCTATTGCAGCGGCTCGACATTAGGAGGTTCATCAAATGGATGTCCACAATGCTTTCTACATGGTGACTTGGATGAGGAGGTTTATATGAAGCTTCCTCCTGGATTTTAATTTGGTAATGATAGACAAGTTTGTCGTATGTTATAGCTTGAAACAGGCTCCTCGTTGTTGGTTTGCTAAGCTGGCTACAGCCTTGAAGCAGTATGGATTTTGTCAGTTACATTCGGATTATTCCTTGTTCACCTTGCAGGTACATTTGCAGGTCTTGGTGTATGTTAATGATCGTATTGTTTCTAGCAATGATCCCCCACTACTATTGCGACTTTTAAGTGTTACCTTTATCGCTGCTTTCACATGAAGGACTTAGGTTTCTTGAAATATTTTTGGGTATTGAAGTTGCACGGAACACTTCTGGTCCATTGTCAGTGGAAATACGATTTGGATAGTGCTATTAAATTAAACGAGCCTGGCTCGGCTCAACTCGAGCTCATTTAAAGCTCGTAAGGCTCGTTAAGGCTCCAAAAGAGAATTTTTCTATAATTTTCTAAAATTCGGCTCGTTAAAGCTCAAACTCGGCTCGTTATGAGTGTTAAACGAGCCACTTCGAGCCTCAGCTTGAGCTCGAGCACCCTAAAATCGAGCTCGGCTCGAGCTCGACTTGTTTACAGCCCTAGCTTTGGACATTATTTTAGACATTATTTTAGACATTATTTCAGAGGTTGGTCTATTGGGGAGTAAGCCGGTAGATTTTTTGTCGGAGCAGAATCATCGTCTTCTTATTGATGGTCCTTTCTTGGATGATCCTGAGCCATATCGGCGTTTGGCGGGTCGTTTGATTTATTTGGCTATTAAACCCTGAGTTTTCCTATTCCGTGCATGTTTTTGCTCAGTTTATGCATCGTCCTCGCCAGACGCATTAGGAAGCTGCACTGCGAGTGGTTCGTTACCTAAAGGGTTCTCCTGGCAAGGCATTGTCCTTTGTCCTGATTGTGATGTGCAAGCTCTATGGATGGTGTGATTCTGATTAGGTGACGTGTCTTGTTACCCGTCGTTCGTCGTTCTCTTACTGGCTGGCTTGTTTAGCTGGACCAGTCATTTATTTCTTGGCGTACAAAAAAACAGAATATCGTAACTCCTCTTTTGCTGAAGCCGAGTATCGCACAATGGCTAGTGTCATTTGTGAGCTTAAGTGTTTGAAAGGTTACTTCTTAGTCTTGGTGTGGCACATTCGCAGCCTATGCGCCTCTATTGCGATAGTCAGGCTGCTTTGCATATTGCTGTGAACCCTGTTTTTCATGAGATAGTTAGTTAGGCTGCTTTGCATATTGCTGTGAACCCTGTTTTTCATGAGCACATTGATGTGGATTGTCACTTCATTCTTGATGCACTCCTCCAATGTCTTGTTTCTGCTTCTCATGTCTCCACTCACCCTAAGTTTAAGTTTGACGGACATTCTTACTAAGGCTCTTGGAAAGCGTGAATTTGATTTTTTCCTTGGCAAGTTGGTCATTCGGAATCCGCATGCTTCAACTTAGTTGATATAATATAATTAGAAAAATGCTACAAGTACATAATAAATGTACATAGAGGTGTACATAACACTCACATGGAGTAGGGTCCACTTGATTTTTTATTTTTCGTGGGACCCACTTAATGTGAGTGTTATGTACACCTCTATGTAAAGTATTATGTACCTGTAGCATTTCTCATATAATTATTATTGTTGTGTATATTTCCATTTGTACAGGTAGTTACTTAGGTGTTGTATCCTTGTGAATATATTGGGACGAGCCGTACGAAGAAAAGATGTTCAGTTTTCTTTCATTAAAAACTGCTTCAGTTTCTAGTTTTTTACAATAATAAAAGCTAGGCTGTACCTGTGGGATCACAATTGCCAGATTTAAGACCCCCATAGATAACCCTGCAAGATCCAGCTAATGATTAAGAATAACCATGCATCCAAACATTCAACTTATAAAATAAAATTCAAGTTTCAGACAAACCTTGGCCTAAGCCTAAAGCTTCAATATGAGTAGACACCAATGCATATGGAACACTGTATGTTATCTGCAAAAGGTAAAGCAAACAGGTAAGAGATCGAACAAGGAATTATAAGAGAATGAAAAAGTCAATTACACACCGGAAGTTAAGACATAAAAGTTCTCTACACATCTGTTAGGTATGTTCATAAGAAAACTAAACTACCAAAGCCACAGTCATTTGCTAAATCCTGATATACTGTAAAACTTCTGATGTTCAACTATATATAGTAAGAGCTAGCAATTTCAACTCAATCGTTCCAATGAAATCTTATAACTAAATTTAATCAAGAGATCGTAACTTTTCTACCATATATCACATGGAAAGTAAAGTTTTTTCAAAATAAATTTAATAGAAAGCTCCTTAAAATCAAAGCCACTTACAGCTAACGGGACACCAAGAACCGCAAACACGACTAAAGCAGAAACAACGATGCCTTCAGGAGGAAGACGTCCGTCAAGATCCATAGTGCCTCGTATAGCGGCAACAGCAATCATGGCCACAAAGCACAACGACATGAGGACATTCGAGACACCCCATGTGAAGCCCGCGCCCCATTTCCTGCAAAGCCTCTCCATAAACAGCGAAGTGACCCCAAGAACCACTGAATTCAGCATCAAGCCTAGAGAACCCATCCTCACACCAACACTATAGCTCGTCCCCTCATTCGGACTCCCTCCGTAAATCTCGCGGCCCATCCAATCTGTGTCGAAAAGAAGGAATGGGAACCACCCAATCCAAGTGAGGGCAGTCACGAGAAGGATTACCCAAACGGGTCCGGGGAGAAATCTAAGAGTTCCGAAGAGTTCCCATAGAAAGGCCTCGTGCTCATGGGAAGCACGAGATGTTTGTTCGCCGTGATGTGGGGAGTTTAGGTCAGATGTAGTCTGCGGCTGCTCGTGGGCTGCCGATAGACTTATATATGTGGTTATGATAATGAAGATAATGTCGATGATGAATGCTGCTTTTAGATTCGCGCAGTTTATGCTGCAAGCGGAGGTGAGGGTGAAGGGCATAATCTTGAACCATTTACTGTAGGACCCGGTGGCGAATCCGAGGATGTTGCCCACAGCCATGAATAGGGAAAAGTACGCATTCGCCACTCGGGTTCTCCTGTAGTCCTTTCCTATAATGTGTGACAAAATATATTAACAGCAACCTTTTTAAAATCAAGGCGAAAAACAAAAATAAATAAAAGAAAAATGAATGATAGGAACAAATATGTGTATTTACACCATCAAATTTGGTTCGGGATAAGGAGGTCAGTTTACGCACATACTCCTTGTCTTTAGCCAACCAGTAAGATAAGTGGAGTATGCTTTCTTCAGTGTTTTAAAAAGGAATTGATTGAACAAGAAATCAAACTGCAGCATAAACTCCTAGTACCAGAACATGGTACTCTGCAGTAGAACCATCTTAAAATTGTATTTATGAAAATCAGTCTGGTGTATACAGATGTTGAGTAAAAACACTATATCTCTTCACAGCAGTCACCAAGAGACAAACATCTAGAGTGGGGACGGTCATACTCAAACAAGTCAGAATTGGAATGAGAAACAGAAAGCCCTAATAGAATAGAACTAAATAATACTACACTCCTAGCAAACTAGCATGGGGATAACTTGCATCAAGCCAACTTTGAATCAATGCCCAGTATTCTGATACTTCTACACATATCTTTCATCAAAAACTTTTACTTACTGAATTGAGCTAGAACCCAGCTTACTCTCACAGAAACCAAAAAGATTGTCCCAATTTAGGATTTGTATGATAAGCATTTATTACTGTTTATATTGATTTGATCATCCTCCTGCCACAGACCTTATACCAATGTTTACTACCCTTCTAACATATAAGTTTTAACCCCAAAAAAATAAATACAGTCGCTTACCCGTGAGATCAGCCAGGAGAGCACGACACGGGCCCTGCGTCATATTGTTGGCCACGTCAAGAAGCCAAAATCCGATCACAAACGCCACGACCGCGCGAATTTTCTTAGGCCCTCGGTCCCCAAAGAGCCACCCAATGTCGGACGCGTGGCCGATGATCAAAACGGCGACTACGATGGACAGTGCTCCGCCGAGGATGAAAGGACGGCGGCGCCCGAATCGGCTTGTGCACCGGTCGCTGTAGTGTCCGACAAGTGGCTGGACCATCAGGCCCGATAGCGGCCCGCACAGCCAGATGATGCTAGCCCAGGCGTGGGGTATGCCGAGCTCCTGCACGTATGGCGTCAACAGGGAGAGCTGCAGGGCCCAGCCGAACTGGATGCCACCGGCCACCGACGCGACGCGAAGGAGCGTCCTCAGCTGGACGCGTGTGGGCCTCACCGATGGGCCCGGCCCAAGGCGCCTGGAAGTCTGACTCTCTCTTTCCACAATTGTCATGTTTACAGGTAAGATTTTCGGTGGCGGAGAGTGGCGGCGGCGGTGGTTGGGATAAAGGAAAATCGAG